AACAAGTACTCAAACTAGACAAGGTAGATAAGCATTTACAGGGTTAACCAGTGAATTTATAAGTTTTGTTTTGGTTTTTAACTACTCTTCTATTTTTTTTATTTTATTTTAAGATTTTATTTATTTATTTGAGAGAGAGAGACAGAGAGCGAACATGAGCAGGGGGGGAAGGACAGAGGGAGAAGCAGGCTCCCTGCTGAGCAAGAAGCCCAATGCGGATCTCCATCCCAGAACCCCGGGATCATGACCTGAGCCAAAGGCAGATGCTTAACCAACTGGGCCACCCAGACACCCCGTTTTTATTTAGTATAAACTTTATACCAGGGTTTCTCCACCTCAGCACTACTGACATTTTGGGCTGGGGATTTGCAGTTGGGGAGCTATCCTGTGCCAGGGGGAGCTTAGCTGCCTTCCAACCCTCTGAAAGTCTGCAGCAACCCACCCACCCCAACAATCTGTTGTATCTCCAGATAGACCCCTGTGTCCCCTGAGTAGGGGAGCAAAACTGCTCCCAGGGGAGAACCACTGCATTTGAGCAGTCCTCCTGTAGTTTAGAAGAGTCTATTCCCATTAATGGAAAGGTGAGAATCATTTTTAAGTGACTTCTGAAGTAGACGTTAGTTTCTGAACATGAAAACCAAGTCCACTTTCCAAAATCATTTATCAAAACAGCCTGTGAGACAGAAATGGTATTGGTGATATATAAATGATGACAGAGGAAAATGCCCAGGGCAACACCATCTGCTTCTCCAGAGTATTCAAGATAAGCATTTCAAACTAGAATATTATGCAAAAAGAACTCACACAGCAGGTGTGAACACTAGAGTCATTTTTGACACCTGGTCAAACACTCTACCTGATTTTAAACATCTTCCTTAAGACTCAGTGTTTGCTACATAAAATCACACTGTGGGGAGTTAAATTATACGTTTTTTTCTTAACTCTTTTCTAGTCAGCTTTCAGGTAAATATACATGAAATAGAATTAAGTGACATAAAATAAAATTCACAAACTTTAAAGGGACAATCGATGAGTCTTAACAAAGTATGCAGTTGTGTAACCACCAATACACTTGTGATATATAATATTTCTGTCACCATAGACAGTTTTCTCAGGCCTGCATTAACCTACCACCCTCACCCCGGCCTCCGGCAACTGGTGATCTGAATTTTTGTCCTTCTGTTTTTGTCTCTTCCACAATGTTCTATAAATGGCATAGCATGGGATGAAGCTTTGGGTCTGGCTTTTTTGCATTGAGCATAATGCTTCTGAGTTCAACGTATTTTGTGCAGGAATAATTTGTTCCTTTATTTATGTGAGGTTTTTGAAGGTATGATGTGGAAGTTTACTAACAGCAAAAGAGTTATCTGAAATTATGGAAACCGGAAACAAATGGAAATTCTTCACACCACGCTTGGCTCTCTGCTTCCCAGCATGCAATCTGCCTGACTGAATGCAGCAAGCCGGGTTACAGCTGCCTACAAGGGGCAGCCAAGGTCCAGGAGGCAGCACCAACATTTGCCCCCAGACTCAAGACGGCTGGAACTAGACCTGAAGTTCAGTCCCAGGTGAAGCAACGTCAAGCTCAAAGCTTCAGAAGGCAATCCTGATTTGCTCCCCCGCCCCCAAGGAAAATCTGAACTAGGCCCAGGGAAGTGAGGAAGGAAAGGGCTCAAACCATTATCTAACAAGAGAGAACAAATCTGGGGCGCCTGGGTGGTTCAGTCGGTTAAGCATCTGCTTTCGGCTCAGGTCATGATCCCAGGGTCCTGGAATGCAGCCCTGCATCCGGCTCCCTGCTCAGCTAGGAGCGTGCTTCTTTCTCTGCCACCCCCGCGGCCCGGTTCTCGCTCTCTCTGAAATAAATAAATAAAATCTTTAAAAAAAGAGAGAGAGAGAGAGAACAAATCACGAGTCAGATCAAAGATGAACCCAGGACTAGAGAAAGATTTCTTAAATAAAAAAATAAATAAATAAAACGCATTAACTAAACACAAAAACAAAACATTGATCTATTCAGTTATATTAAAATTAAGACCTATTGTCCATCGGAAACATCTTAAAGAAAGAAAAGAGACTCATTACAGAGTAGAAGAAAATATTTTCACGGTACGCACGACTGACAAAATATTAGAATGAAGACTAGAGCATGAATTCCTACAAATCAGTAGGAAAACATGGCACAAAGAGATGAGCAGAAAAAAAAGCAAAAGCTCTTCCTAGGCCCGGACAGATGAGGACACACATATTTCTAAAAGATGTATGAAGAAAAGTTAAGCATCACTGGTGGTCAGAAAAAGAATACCTAAAATAAGAGCAGAGTGGATGCTCTTTTACGCCCTTTCTCTTGGCTACAGTGAAAAATCTGACTATGGTACAACTGGCAGAGAAGGAGACTCCAGAGCGGCTTTTATACATTGCTGGTGGGAGCAGAAACTGATGCCCTGACTCTGGAAAAGGGCCAGGCATCATGTCTAGACAGCTGACCAATCCCATGGCCAGTGATTCCTCAATCCCACTTCCACGCAACCCAAGGGACGCTACTGCAAGGGCAGCGTACACACCGCGGACAAGCACATTCATAACAGGACAGCTCATGTTAGCAAGACCTTGAAGCCAACAAAACGTCCATCGGGGGGAGGGCAGATGCATAGACTCTGATGTATTCACATAAGAAATAGTATCCAGTTGTCAGAATAAATTAACTGCCGAGATGTATGTGTTAAAGATCAACCTTAGTAATAGAACAGGAAGTGAAAACAGTTGCCAACAGAATACGTATGGTGTATGTTAGGAGGTGAAAGATAACTAGGATAACAAATGTATTTATTAGTGAGCATATATATGCAATAAATATATTTTAAAAAGAAAAGGAAATAGTTGACATAGATTGCAGGGTCATGGTAGGCAAAGCAGGAGGACTGGTTGATTATAAAAAACCTAGCTTTTGTTGCCAGTAATGGGATTGGCTGGTGTCCGTTACACTATTAACAATAACAAATTAAGTAGCTAGTTGAACATGTAAAATGGGCCATATTTGGAACAACAGTGAAAATGTGATGAACCAGGAATTATAATTTATCCAACTTTAGGTTCCCGAAATTTAATTAAAAACATAACGAAGTAAAAATAACAGTGCCAGACAAGACGTGTTCATTTGAGCAACAATTCAGGGTCCAAGGCTTCTACAGCAATATGAAATGAATTATTTGTTGAAAGAAGGAGTCAAAGAGCAATTCTTTTTTCTGGGTGTGAAGTCAGAGAAGAATAGGGTTTAGTCATTGACTGTTATTCTTGGGAATAATAAGGAACAGAAAGGGGTGTTCCAATGCTGAGGCTGAGAGTGAACTGTTTCGAATCCCTAGTAAAACAACAGGTCACTGTCAAAAAGACTAGAACGTAAAATGTAGAAGAGAAAGGGGATATGCCGGCTCACTGGGAAAACAGGAGAACTCCATGGTTTAAAGAACCAGCATGTGGAATCCACTGTCAGTAATACGGTCTTCTGGGGGTCCGTGGCTGCCTACTGATAGGGGACATTTTGCTTGTCAGCTCTTCCCGCTCCCGGTAGATAAAGATTTGAGGATCAGCATATACAGATGATATTCAGACCCACGGGCTTGATGAGATCACATGGGGAGCAAGCATGAAGATAAATGGAGGTATTAAAAGAGCATCACAAGCCCGAAAATCAGTTACTAGAGTAGTGTGGCCTTCCGCAGATCCATGGATTTGGGGCAAGTTTTAAGCAATGTAATAGTAGGGAAACCTATGTTCCAAACCTGTATCTACACCAGATAACACCTAACCTAATCTCAATCTTTAGCTCCATCTGCCATCGGAGGTCTTTGTGCTACTGTTACATGATTGAATTATTTTCTCTACGTCTGTTAGACTTACCTACCTTTTCAATTCCTTGGGTGAGTTTTAGAAAAGATTCATTTTAGGGAAGACTCCTGGGCGAGTTAAGGGAAAAAAATGATCTTTTTCATGCTACTGGAAGAGCATTTATGAATATGATAAATGAACTGTGATGGTTAATTTGATGTGTCAACGTGACTGGGCTAAGGGATACCCAGAAAGCTGGCCAAATGTTATTTCTGGGTGTTATCTGTCACAACGTTTCCGGAAGAGAGTAGCATTTGAAAGAGTAGACTGAGTAAAGATGGCTCTCACCAACATGGGTGGACGTCGTCCAGTCCGTTGAGAGCCTGATTAGAACAAAAAGGCAGAGGAAGGGCATTTTCTCTGTCTCTGCTTGAGCTGTCTCCTGCTCTCAGGCATGAGCACTCCTGGTTCTTGGGTTTTCAGATTCAGACCAGGACTTCCACCACCTACCCTCCAACTCTTATGTCTTTGTACTTGGACCTAATTGCACCGCTGGCTTTCCAGCTGGTTCTCCAGCTTCCTGATGGCAGATGGTGGCACTTCCCAGTGTCCATTACTACATGAGTCAACTCCTATCAGAAACCTCCTGTTCTGTCTGTTTATCGATCTGTCTGTTTTCTATTGGTTCTGTTTCTCTGGAGAATCCTAACACATGAACTTCTGCTTCTTTCTCTAACCTCATAACAAAAAAAGAAACACAACATTTGCACACTTTCACTAAGTTAGTGGAAAAGGAAGTAAATAAACTAACAGGCCAATCAAAAATCAGACTGTTTACATCTAAACCACAACTAACTACCCTAGAAGTTATCTTTAAATCATTCATCCATAGGATTTTTTTTTGTATAAAACTGTATCTTCTTTATTTTGCATACTTTAATCTCAGAACAAAATAAACAACAACAACAACAAAAACCCCACAATACACATCCAAACCCCGCCACATATTGGAAGGGAAAGGGCTTGAGGACCTTCTTTCCTGCCTCAAACACAGGAGAAAAAAAGAAAAAACCACTGGACATCAGCAGAGGGAACCAGGTGAACCGGGGTCACTCAGGGCTGCCGGGGAGCCATGGGGACACTATACAGAGGCACAAGGTCTGCAGGTAGAACTAATCTACTTCTTCCATGCGAGAGGCATCCTCATCACCCTCAAGGGGCGGGGGGATCTCATCAGGAACAGCAGCACTGGGCTCCTCTGCGGTCACTTCATCTTCATCAATGCCCAGGCCTAGCTTGATCATGCAGTAGATGTGGTTGGAGTGAGTCTGGGGATCCTCGAGTGAGAAGCCGGAGGAGAGCGGAGCTGTTTCAAACAGCAGCACCACCAGGTCCTTGACCGCCTTGTCGTTCTTGTCTGCCTCGGCCTCCTACCGCAGCGTTTCCACGATGGGGTGGTCAGGGTTGATCTTGCAGGTGCTTCTTGGCCATCATATAGCCCATCTTAGAGTTGTCCCGAAGGGCCTGGGCTTTCATGATCCGCTCCATGTTGGCCGTCCAGCCATAGGTGCTAGTCACAATGCAGCAGGGTGAAGACACTAGCCTGTTGGAGATTGTCACCTTCTCAACCTTCTTATCCAAGATTTCTTTCATGAGTTCGCAGAGGTTCTCGAACTTGGCCTTGCTCTCCTCCATTTTCTTCTTCTCCTCTTCATCCTCAGGCAGCTCCAGGCCCTCCTTGGTAATGGAGACCAGACTCTTCCCGTCTAACTCCTCGAGCTGCGGCACGCAGCACTCGTTGATAGGCTCTGTCATATACACTACCTCGAAGCCCCGCTTCCACGCTCGCTCCACAAAAGCGGAGTTGGCAACCTGCTCTTTGCTCTCACCGGTGATGTAATAGATGGACTTCTGGGTCTCTTTCATGCGGGACACATATTCTGAAAGAGAAGTCATCTCATCCCCAGACTGGGAGGTGTGGTAACGCAGCAGCTCAGAAAGGTGGCGCCGGTTAGTAGAGTCCTCAGGGATTCCAAGCTTTAGGTTTTTAGAGAACGCCTCAGAGAATTTCTTATAGTTCTCCTTGTCTTCTGCCAGTTCAGAGAAGAGCTCAAGGCACTTCTTCACCATATTTTTGCGAATGACCTTCAAGATTTTGCTCTGCTGGAGCATTTCTCGGGAGATATTCAAGGGCAGGTCCTCGGAGTCAACCACACCGCGGATGAAGTTGAGATACTCTGGTATCGATTCATCACAGCTGTCCATGATGAACACACGGCGAACATAGAGTTTGATGCTGTTCTTTTTCTTCTTGTTCTCAAAGAGGTCAAAAGGAGCCCGACGGGGGATAAACAGCAATGCCCTGAATTCCAGCTGACCTTCTACAGAGAAATGCTTGACTGCCAAGTGGTCTTCCCAGTCATTAGTAAGACTCTTGTAAAACTCTCCATATTCCTCCTGGGTAATGTCATCAGGGTTTCTGGTCCAAATGGGCTTGGTCTTGTTCAGTTCTTCCTGATCTATGCATTTCCCCTTAATCTTCTTTGTTTCCCTTTTCTTGCCCTTCCCACTATCATCCTCCTCATCTGAGCCCACATCTTCAATGTGGTGCCTTGGCACCAGACATCTTCATTTAATTGGTCTGGGGTGGCTTAGGAATCAGTATTTTTTTTTAAGATTTTATTTATTTATTTGTCAGAGAGAGGGGGCACAACCAGGGGGAGCAGCAGGTAGAGGGAGAAACAGACTCCCCGCTGAGCAGAGAGCCTAATGCAGAACTCGATCCCAGGACCCCGGGATCATGACCTGAGCCAAAGGCAGACGCTTCACCAACTGAGCCACCCAGGCATCCCAGGAATCACTATTTTTTTTTAAAGCATCTAGGTGATTCAGATGCCGCCACAGTTGAGAATCAAGAAGGCTATTTGTCCGTAAATTCAAACTATGTTTTTGAGAAAAATAATGGGAATTTGATGAAAATGGTCAGCAATGCACAATTTCTGAACATCAGCACCCCTGACATTTTGGACAGCTCATTCTTTGTTGTAGAAGCTGTCCTGTGCACCACAGATGTCCAGCAGCATGCCAGTGGGAGAACCCAAAATGTCTCCGGTCATGGCTTAGTGTTCCCTTAGGGACAAAAATGCTCCCCTTGAAAACCACTTAGATGTGGGCACCTGGGTGCCTCAGTTGGTTAAGCGACTGCCTTCGGCTCAGGTCATGATCCTGGAGTCCTGGGATCGAGTCCCACATCGGGCTCCCTGCTCCGCAGGGAGTCTGCTTCTCCCTCTGACCCTCTTCCCTCGCTCTCTATCTCTCATTCTCTCTCTCTCGAATAAATAACTAAAATCTTAAAAAAAAAAAAAAAGAAAACCACTTAGATGTAACCAATTGTCATGTTACAAGATCCAAGTAGTACTTCAGTTCTAAGAAAAACCAAATGAATAAACATGTTCTTGAGTTAAAGCAGCAATTCATCTATAATCCCGCAAAAAGGAGCAAGAGACAGTATTTTTAAATGATGTTCTAGATGACATTTTTAATTAAAAATTAACCAATACGAGAGGTTTTCATCTCTTCTAGTTTGCACTTCTGGATCTGCACCCTACCCCGTCTTCACTCTACTCCCTTTTCAAATGGCCTCAGTGGGACTTTTTGTCAAGATAAAAACCTCCCCCCTCCCTCCCTCTCCAGGGAAGGTTGTAAATCGCTCCCATACTACAGCCTCACTCCAGCTAAGGCTTCCTCAGCCCCCTTCCAACAAACTCTAATTTACTGGCATCTTCACGTGAATCAGTTACCGGGAGAAGCCCACCCAGGGGGGGAGGAATGAAGATAGCATCGCTTCTCCATCCACTTGCCTTCTCTCTGCCAGGCAGAAGGGAAGTAAAGTTCAATAGATTTCTTTGTTTTTCATTTCCTTCCCTCCCCTGGCCCATGATTTTGTGCTTTACCCCCCTAGCAACAAGTTAAATAATATCCATCCATTCAGTGTTTCCTTCCTATGTTTCAAGCAATGTTCTAGACACTGTGACCCAGTAGTGGACAAAATGAAGTCTCCACCATCTTGGAGGTTACTCATTAATAGGCAGAAATGTCCACATTGTTCTAGATAATGATATTTGGCCCTACAGTTTGCATTTTCCTATTGCTTGAGCTCCTCTTTTAAACAAATATTCAACTGATGAACTTTTCTAGTTCCAAAGAGCATTAAGAATGAGCTTTTTAAATGTTGAACTTGCCTACCCAGGTACCTGAATGAAAGTGGACACCATTACTGGTCTGCTGGGATCAGTCTGTTACCATCCATGTTTTTGCACTTCCTCTTGAGAGGCTGACAAGCATTCCTGATGTCATGTTGAATAAGTTCAAAAGCAATGAATGTTTCGGCAGCAATCGAGGGGCACTCAACAGCCCTGATGGGGAGCTGCAGGTCCGGTGTCATTGATCTCTAGGTGGCACCGGGGCCCATCAACTCTGGGGCACTGGTGCAGCTCACAGAAGAGGGGGCCTTGGTTGGGGTCGCCCACATTGGTGAGCTGTGTGACTCAATCACAGCTCAATGTTGTTAGGTGTCTGAATGGCAACCCTCCAAGGGTGAGTCCAAGAGAACAGCGTTCATCCTGTTGAGTCTTGGCCAAAGCTGTGGGAATGGCCTTGAGTTCTGCCCACTTTGGGATCTCCCTGGCTGGGACTCAGACTGCACACACGCAGCAGCCCAGGGGACACTGCTGGGCTTCATCTTGGCCAACCATTTGTGAACCAGGCCCTGGCATTCAGGAGGACCTCTGGGAACCAAGGGCACTACTGAACCAGAGGCTTCAGGTGGGAGATAAAATTTCCCAAAAGGGAGGAGTCGCCACTGTGGAAACCAGAGATGCCCCAGAGCCACATCAGCCGCCTTCCTGAACCCCCCATTTCATTCAGACAGCTAAGACTTGGTGGGTCCTCCCCACCCTGTTAGTCATTGAGTCAGAGCTGACCCACCTTGGAATGGCACTATCGGGCAGAAACATCACAAAGCCTCTAGAGATCAGTGTTCCACTTTGACAAGAGCCCAGCAGCCTGTGATAGTTGCGCCTGGGTGGAGGTTACCTTCTTTTGCCAGAGGCTCCAACTGGCAAATCATCAGACATAGAGATCAAACCTCAAAAGGGGTGCTGGTGTCCTGGGCCCCCAAAATACCGGCAGTTCTCTGCGTATGGCTCTTCAAGGTGGGGAGACTTGCCCCTGGCGCTAAGGGATCCGGGAAGTACAAGCAACAAATACATCAACTCCTGCTCTGTGTTCAGATATAGAAGCACTGAAAGCCGTGCATGGATTGGCCCCACGAGGCCCCACCGACAGAAGGTCGCTCCACATGCCACCAGACACCTCACCCAGAAAACATTAGTTGGATTTGGGTGCTCCCCCACCACAAGGAGCAGAGAGCATAGTCACCTGGGAGCCAGCATTCAACACAGCTCTAACTGTGTGACTTCCTCCCCTGTGCAGAGCTCCTCAGCCCAGCTGCACAGGTGCCCATGGTCTTCAGTTCTGCTTGGGGACAGGGAGACCTTGGTCCCAATCCTCACGATCTTCCCGTTCCGGCCGCAAGGCTGAGGGATGGAGGGGATTATCTGTCTCAGACTAGACTTGCTGCAGGAGGCAAAGCACATTTACTCCTGTTTTCAAGTGCCTGGTAGATGCTCACCTCTTTGATTTAACACGTAGCGTATTCTTCCTTTTTTCTTTCCTCATCAGCTGAATTACATACACTTAGAAGTCAAGAAACTTTTGTGGAAAATTCAGCCCGAAGTTCCTTAGAAATTGAAGTCCGAAGCCTGCATGGTAGTCCAGTGAGGTGTGCAGAGTCTGAGGGAGTGGGCAGTTTCCCCAGCTGTCAGGCAGAGCCAACTTACGTGGTAACAACAATTCAGAAAACTCACCCAAGGTGACTAATGGCCCCGGCCATGCTCAGGGGAAGACCACGGTCTCCTGCCCGCTCTGTGCTTTATTCTGCGGGCCAGCTTAATTTGCCTATTGTCTGGCACCTTCCACGGAGACAGGAGAAAATATAAAAAAGGAGCCCACATTTGTCAGGAGAGGCTAAAATGCTGTTTACGATGAAGGATGTAATGAACAGCTCTATAAAATAAAGCAAGTCAAGAGATTCATTCTCTCTGAAATCCTTATACTGGGGCTTTCTAACTTGACTAGTGTCCTCACCAACACTTTCTAACTTGACATTCAAATACTCCTCAGTTCTACTCTGTGGACAGGTACGACCACTGCAGCCACCTGGTTACAACTCGGATGGAGTTTTCTGTCTCTTGGCTGAATGTGTTGCTGTTATTTATTTCCAATCTTACAAGATATTTCCAGAAGATATTTCAAAAGCAATTCTGGAACCATCATCCCAGACTTTACAATTACATTGACTGACTGTACTGATTTTTATTTTTTGTGCTAAATGACTAGCCTAGCAAATGTGAAATTTAAGTAAAAAAAAAAAAAATTGTTGGTTCAAAATAAAGTAATGAAACTGAGGCCATAAAGATGTTGAGGGATCATTATTAGCTGTGTTTGTAGGACTTGTATGTCCATTAACATGACCCACTAGGAAAGCATAAAATAAAATGCATGGCGCTTTTTATGAGATTATTATAATGGTTATAGCTGCAAAATGCAAGATCTGTCTTTATATCTATTTATGAAGTGATAGGAGATGGCTTAAAATGTTTTGAGTTTGGAAATGATACCTATTTTGTTGTATTAAAAATCTCTGTCTTTCTGAAAAACAAACTGAGGGTTCTAGAGGGGAGGGGGTGGGGGGATGGGTTAGCCTGGTGATGGGTATTAAAGAGGGGACGTTCTGCGTGGAGCACTGGGTGTTATGCACAAACAATGAATCATGAACACTACATCAAGAACTAATGATGTAATGTATGGTGATTAACATAACACTAAAAAATTTTAAAGGAAAAAAAAAAACTCTCTGTCTTGGGAAACCTGGATGGCTCAACTGGTTGAGCGACCAACCCTTGGTTTTGGCTCAGGTCATTATCTCGGGGCATGAGATCTAGCCCCAGACCAGGCTCCCAGACTCGGTGTGGAATCTGCTTGTGCCTCCCCTCCCCCTCTGCCCCTCCCCTGGCGCACTCTCTTTCTCTCTAAAATAAATAAGTAATAAAATAAATAAATAAAATTTTTAAAAAAAATAAAAATCTCTGTCCTTACAGAGCTATTCACTTTTTCTGTAGTCCCCATAAATTGGTATTTTTTTTTTTTTTTTTTGACAGCGCGCAAGTGGTGGCTGGGCTGTAGGATGGGGAGGAGCACAGGAGGAGGAAGAGAGAAAATCCCAAGCAGGCTCCATGCCCAGCGTGGGGCTCGATCCCACGACCCTGAGATTATGACTCAAGCTGAAATTGAGTTGGACACCCAACAAACTGAGCCACCCAGGTGCCCCAAATTGGTATGACTTTTTGAAAAAAAAAGATTTTATCTATTTACTCATGAGAGACAGAGAGAGGGAAACAGAGGGAGAGGGAAAAGCAGACTCCCCACTGAGCAGGGAGCCCCTTGCGGGGCTCGATCCCAGGACCCTGAGATCATGACCTGAGCTGAAGGCAGACACCCAACCACCTGAGCCACCCAGGTGCCCCTGGTATGACATTTTTAAAAAGATTTATTTATCTATTTATTTATTTGAGAGTGTGTGTGCACACGCGCACGTGCAGGGCAGAGGGGCAGAGGGAGAGAGGATCCTAAGCAGACTTTATGCTGAGCAAGGAGTCAGATCCATGACCCTGAGATCACAACCTGAGCTGAAACCAAGAGTTAGATGCTCAACTGACAGCATCACCCAGGCAACCTCAGCATGACATTTGAAGAAAAATTTAGAAGATGTGGTTTTCCTGCTCTGTCTGTTGTACTCCCTAAGAATAATCAAGTAGTTGATTATCTTTTCTAAATATATACCACTATTCTATTTGTTTTATTTGCATAATGTTCAAATACAGGTAAATTAAAAAGCCACTGAAACTTGATGAAAATATACAGCAGTAAAGCATTAACTGGAGGTTTCACAAATCTTAGCATTTTCCATAGGGTTCTTCACCCTTTCATTTGACTTCATTTTTGTTAAGAAAGAAGTCCTAAGTTGTTTTATTCCCTGGTACTTTAGGATTATCATTTAATATTAATTAGACTGCAAAAGAAATATTCTTCTCTGAGTCTTACAGATGAAGAAGTGAAGGCTCAGAGAAATTCAGCAATTTGTCCAATGCACACAGTGGTTAAGTGTGGAGTTGTTATCCAAACCCAGGTCCAGCTACTCCAAAGTCCACGCATTTTACATTAGACCATACTTCCAGACACCAAAAATGAACGGAAGGATTTAGTGGAAGGATGAAATAAATGGAAAGGCAGGATAAATTTACCCATGGCATTCCTTGTAATGGCATGAAGTTAAAGGCTAGCATTAAAATCTTACACAGAAGTAAAAGATTTGTAAGGAAGAAGTAAGCACTGAGAAAAATGATATTAACCCAGTGAACTACTCAAAAGGATCATATTAGTCAGAAGATTAAGTGACTACAGGTCAGAAGTCAAGAGCAGAGGTTGCTGACCAGCTTAAAATGTCTAGACGCATGGATCCCCAGACAGGCAGATGGCCAGTGCATATGGCCCCAATCTCATCTACGGAGTAGAGGTCAGGAAATTTTACAGGTGATCCAGGGGTCTAAAACAGTGGTCAGCAAATTATACCCCAAGGGCCAAATACCCTGCCTGTTCCCCGTTTCCGTAAATAAAGTTTTATTGGAACACAGTCACTGCCATACATCAGCATATTATCTACGGCTCTGCCTTCACACTACAGGACACACTTGAGTAGTTGTACCAGAAACTTTATGATCCAACAGAAACCTTATGATCCACCAAGCTTAACATATGCACTCCCTGGGCCTTTTGCCAACCCCTGGTATGAAACACAGACCAATTGTTGGGCAAATAACACTCTCCTTCCCTTCCTCCTCCTTCTTCGTCTTCTTGTTCTGCCTGTTTGTTTTATATTTTTTTTAAAGGTTATCATTTTAATTCCAGTATACTTAACGTTACAGGGCTATATTACTTTCAGGTATATACAGTATAGTGATTCAACAATTCCGTACATTACTCAGTGTTAGTCACAAGTGCATTCTCTAATCCCCATCACCTATTTTATCCATCCCACCACCTCCCCTCTAGGAACCGTCAGTTTGTTCTCTATAGTTAAGAGTCGGCTTCTTGGTTTACATCTCTCTCTCTTTCCTTTGCTCATTTGTTTTGTTTCTTAAATTCCACATATGAGTGAAATCATGTGGTATCTGTCTTTCTCTGACTGACTTATTCTGCTTAGCATCATACTCTCTAGCTCCATCCACGTCGTTGCAAATGGCAAGATTTCATTCATTTTTATGGCTGAGTAATATTCCATTGTAGATATACAATCTTTATCCATTCATCAATTGACGGACACTTGGGCTGCTTCCATATCTTGGCTATTGTAAATAATGCTGTAATAAACATCGGGGTACATGTATCCCTTTGTGTTTTTTGTTTGTTTGTTTTTTAAGGTTTTATTTATTTGAGAGAGTGAGCTTGCACAAACGGGGGAGAAGGGCAGAGGAAGAGGGAGAAGTAGACCCCCACTGAGCAAGGAGCCCAGTGCAGGACTCGATCCCAGGATCCTGAGACCATGACCTGAGCTGAAGTCAGCCACTTAACTGACTGAGCCACCCGGCGCCTCACATATATCCCTTTGAATTAGAGTTTTTACTCTCTGGATAAATATCTACTAGTGCAATTGATGGATGATAGGGTGGTTCTATGTTTAACTTTTTGATAAACCTCCATACTGTTTTCCACAGTGGCTGCACCGGTTTGCATTCCCACCAATAGTGCACAAGGGTTCCCTTTTCTCCACAGGCTCAACAACACTTGTTGATTCTTGTGTTAATGATTTTAGCCATTCTGACAGGTGTGAGGTGATATCTCATTGTAGTTTTGATTTGCATTTCTCTGATAATGAATTTCCCGAAGACCCCAGCTCCAAATACCCTCACGTTGGGAGTCAAGTTTCAATGTATGGATTCTGGGGGGACACAAACAGTCAGTCTATGGTACCATCTTCCCTCGTGACTCCCGGGGCCAATCCCCGCAAGCTGGTCCCAGGTTCTCCTGTGGGCAGGCTTTCAGCTGGGTTTGGCCAATGGGAGGGACTCACAGGCGCCTCCAGATCCTAGTGCCTTTTATAGGGTTCTAGAGCCTCTGGATATGCCGGCTGTGGCTCCAGCTTCCAGCATGTTTCCAAGACCCTGCATCTGGAGATCACTGCCTCCTCCTTCGTCCCTTCCACTAGGAGTGACAGTGGCTTGTAGAGGGCATTCTCTGCTTTGCTTGACCAGCCCATATTAGCTGTTTAGTACTTCCATCACCTTCTAACCCCTTCCTGAGTTAAATTCCCACTGGTTTAAACACCCAGAGTAGTTTCTGTTTCCTAGCAGATCTAGAAATATACAATTCTATTTCTTCTGCTTTTTAGCAGATGCCTTGGAAGTCAGGTCAGAGAAAGTGAAGCAATGAAGTGGACAGTGACATGCTCATGACTAACCACATAATAAAACCAAGTGACTTAGCAGTTCAATAGGCATAGCCGATACGCTCTAGTTTTATAGGTTTTCTTCATTAGCATATGAGGGATGCACTATAAATCACCCACTGTGGACAAGAGCTATAATCGGATGTACAGTAGAACCACAGTCACATATGGCAAAGTAATTTATCATGAGATTTAATTATATAAAGAGACTCATTAAATTTATCTCTGTGTCCTCATCATCCAGCTCAATGCCTGGAAGGTAATAGTTACCTGATAAATGCTCATTTAATGATGAAATGAATGAACTGAAAATATGAAAAATTATGCACACTGCGCTTTCCACATTACAATATAGAGCAGCACAAGAATTCTGGCAACCCAACCCATGAGTCTATGAATGAAGAAAAACCCCCCTGGTTGGTAACACAGAAAAGCTGAAGCTGCACAGCCTCATGGGAATCCCAAGAGGAGGGAGCTTCTGGTGGGATCTCAGGGCACCTGGTCGACCAAACCTCCAGAAACTGCGTCTCTCATCATTGCCTTCTCCTCAGTCTCGGGCATCTTGCAACAGGCAACAGTGATGGATGTTCACAAGGGAGACAGAAGTACTCAGAACTCAGGTCTCTGTGGGGAAGGTCATTCCCCTGAGGTGCTCGTGTTCAGTGTCCCCTGAGATTCCAGGCATGGTTCAGGATGCTGGTGTTCAATGGGCAAACAGGGAAATAGATACAGGATGACAGAACAGGAGAGGGAGGGGGAAGAAGACAAAGGAACTATTCTATCCTATCATCTAGGCTGTTATCATTGCCAGGCTTGAATGAATAGCCAAGAGAGATAACCAAGATTCCATGAGTTCTGGCCCCAGCTTTCACGAGCAAAGATCTCCATGCAAACCTAACACCCCATGCTGGCTTCAGATGCTCCTTGTAGAATTACTACTGCAAATGCTTCTGGTAGATGAAAAAGGACCCACACTGTGCAGCATGGGTTGTGGAGGCATAGATCCCCTCCTCTGACACTGATGAATTATCTGTAGGGAAAGCCTCCACTCTGTGTCCTGGCACTTTGCATGTCTCCCCATGGGCCACGCAGGCCAAGTTGGACCACACCCTGACCCGCGGCTCGGTGGGATAGCCTATGATTCCTTCTGGAGCCAGGGGAGATAAGTCTGGTGGGGAGCTGTTGTCAGGCATTTCCCAGCCCCACTTTATGGTCATCTCTCCTCCATCTCCCTACTCACGGTCACCCACAGCTCGTGGCGTCTGTCACCTGACCCTTTTGGTTCTGTGTCGTCCTATATGACGAGAGTCGTGGACAGCTGCCGCCATGCTGACCTTCCTTTGGCTGCCCATCCCTGTCTGAATCCATGTGGGCTCCTGTCTGCTTGCTGGCCAATCCGTGGACGAGTGGCAAGCCACACTGATATGTTCTGCTGCTTGGTGAGCGTGTGACCATATGGTATGGTTTATTCTGCACATCAGCATCTGCGCCTGTGAATGGACTCCAGCGCCCCATACGGGGATATCGACGCCCTGCAGTATGGGTCAGTGTGATTTGTCACGACTGTATAGCACTTCCTCGTGGTGATGTGGTCACAAGTACTTTGTGCTGTCTTACAGTGGTTTAGACACTTCCCCGCCATGTCTGCAGGTCGGGGTTCTCCCGTGTGCAGCCCCAGGACTGCTGCACAGCATCCGTGAGGAAGTTATCAGGTCAAAGAGTTGATGCTATTACATCCTCACACGGCTCCAAGTTTATGAGGTTATTCTAATTGTCCTCAAATAGATAAAATTCACAAATAGTTCCTTAAAGAAAGAAGGGAGTTCCTGAAGTTTTTTGCAGGCCACTAATACGCTGTATTTCATCATAGAGTACATTTTTCTTAAGATTTTGGTTTTTTTTAAGTAATCTCTAAACTCAACGCAGGGCTCAAACCCACAGCCCCGAGATCAAGAGTCACATGCTCCACTGAGTGGGCCAGCCGGGCACTCCCAAGAGTGCGCATCTTACTCATCTACAGAATAGGAACCTCTCCTCCCCTCAAGATACTCGGAAAGTCCTCTGAACAGACCGGGGGCAAGAACAGCATTAAGGAAAAGTATCTGATTCTAACTGCAGAGTATTTTACTGTGGCTACAAGCCTTTTTCTTATGATAGTTTTTAAAATAAATAAAACTGCTAGCTTTTTCAGTGAACTGTCGCTCTCATCTGTTTTTAATCACAGCTCTTGTTAGTTTTGAATTCTGAAAGAACTCAAATTCATTCTTAATTATAACATTACTATACTTTGACAAAGTATAATCCAGATGCGATACATTTAGAATAAAAAGCACATTTCTTCATCACTGCCTAAATATGCTTCTCTCATAAAACTTATCTGATCCTCAATGTCTCGGGCTGTGCAGTGATTGATTGCAGCCAACCTTTTTATGCTCTGCCAAAACAAAGAATAGGCACACAGGTGTTGGAGCTGCTGGGTTCTCATGACAGAGCAAGGGGGACCCACCCGGGTCTTCGTCAGGATTGTGCCCAAGGACATTTTCTCCAATCACACTACGTCAAGGAGTTTTAGTGCAAACACTTTTAACTTCCTGGTGCCTCTTTTCAGAATTATGAGTTCCAATAGAAAGAGATAATGAGAGAAGGAAGGGAGGAAGGAAGGAAGGAAGGAAGCAAGTAGGGAGGGAGGAAAGGAAGGAAGGAAGGAAGGAAGGAAAAAAAATGCCCCATTTTCCAGTCTGTAACGGCATAATATTCAGAAAAGAATATAAACTATGATTTACTGTAGACACCAATGAGGCTGGAAGTAAAATGTGATTGTCAGTATCATGACTCAAGGATTTCCTTAAAGTCCCAGACTCAGCAGCGCATGGTGAAAATTTATGGATTGTTTGAACAGACAGTGCCCCAATATCAACGTGAGATTTAAAGGCAGGGCCTTCGAAGTTATTTTAATCCCGAATATGAGTTCTGCAGAAACTCCAGGATAGAGCCTCCCTTTGCCCTTGGGAAGGGCCTGCTTGTGTTTGTGTAAGGGGACATAGAAGCAGAGACTCCCCAAGTTCCTGGGGGCCTTCAATAGCAAGCAGTCCCAAATCCACAGAGATGGAAAGCAGAACCGTGGTTGCCAGGGGCTGTCAGGGAGGCATGAGGAGTGACTGCTCAGGGGTGTGGGGGTTTCCTTTTGGCACCTCTTGGGGTGCCAAAATAACCGTGGCATTATAGAGGGTGATGGTCATATGCCTCTGTGAGTACCCTAAAACTCAGTAAAATGGATACTTCACCCTGGTGAATTTCACGGTATGTAACTTCTCTCTCAATTTTTTTTTTAAGATTTTATTTTTTTTAAGTAATCTCTACACCCAATATGGTGCTTGAATTCATGACCCTGAGATCAAGAGTTGCATGTTCTTTGGACTAGGGCAGCCAGGTACCCCAAGTTCTCTCTCAATTAAAACAAATAAATAAAAGGTAGCAGTAGCTAAGTATCTTTTGTATGCACACGCACACCACGCATTGTGCATGGGACATATTTACACTAAGAAGGTGATTGTTGTGTATCCGAAATTCACATTTAATTAGGTTCCCCATATTTTTGTTTCAGTAGACTTTATTTTTTGGAATTGTTTTAGGGTAGTAGCAAAATTGAGTGGAAAGTACATCGAGTCCTAATACACCCATACCCCCTCCCCCAACACATGCCCAGCCTTTCTATCAGCATCCCCCACCAGAGTGGTACATATGTTACCATGTGTGTGTTCTATGGGTTTGGGCAAAATTATAATGAAGTAGCCACCATTATAGTATCATATAGAGTGGCTTCACTGCCCTAAAAATCCTACGTGCTCTGCTGATTCATCCCTCTCCTCCCTATAACCTTACCCCTGGCAACGGCTCTCTGGATGGACCACAGTTTATCCCTTCATCCATTGAAGGACAGTGTGGTTCCTTCCAAACGTGGCCAATTACGAATAAAGCTGCTTAAACATTTGCATACAGGTTTTTGTGTGAACACAACTTATCAGTTCATTTAGGTAAATACCAAGGAGCACAACTGCTGGATCATATGGTAAGACTTTTAGTTTTGCTAAATCTGGCAATCCTATTCTCAGTGAACTTGCACTTCTTTGGAAGAGACACAAAACAAGGATGTTCTTCAATGAGAGAAGGCACCAAAGGATATCTTATCTTTATCCGCTCATTCACCAGCTCGTTCATTGGTATTTATTGAACAAAACTGTGCTAGACCCTGGGAAGGCAAACAGACACACAAAATGGAAAAAGCACGTGTTGTTAAACACAGCAAAGCAGAATAACAAGGGCATTAAGAAAGGTTTCCAACATGCAAGCTAGAGAGCAAAGAAAAGATGGAGAGATTTTCCCCATGGAGGCTCCAAGGGAGGCTCCGAGAGTGTACCCCAGGGAAAGAAAGCCTTCTTCTTGAAGCATGTAGATAGATGATCCCGCAGGGGTATTGATGAGAGATCCACTCAGGAAAGAATGATCCTAGGCGGAGGTGCAAAGGTACGAACTAGCAATGGAATACATCTAATCAATAAATATTTAATACCCTGCCATTATGCTGGGCCTTAGGACACAGCTTTCACCAAGCAGGCAGCCTTGACAAGTAGTCGACAGGAAAATACTTAACACAGGTTTGTGCAACTCAGAAAGGCAAGCTTTCCTCATGGCTGGGAGAATAGGTGCGTTCAAAGAGTGAGTGCTCCTTTTTCTCCCGGGTATGCCTCCCCTTCTATCACTGGGGAACTCTCCCCTTCTACCCTAAGATGAAGAGTTACATCAGTGGGTGTATAAATAGTGCTTACCATCTATTAGAATTGCAAGGCTTGGTTTGGGGACTTTCCCCACCTAACTATTGAAGTTGCCTAAGTTGAGTTATCATTCCAAACTTTAGTTACTACTGTCCTATGTGAGATCTTTGTATCTCGTGTCCAATGCACTAGTTAGACATTTCTTTATAGGCGTTTTAAGGTTTACAGGTACACTTGATAAAATAGCTGGGCATTTTCGAGATGTTTTTCATTGGATAATTTATTCCATATGTACCCAACAGCCAAGCATTTGGCAAGTGACCAACAGATATGATTTAGAAAGCCTGACGAGCTCATGCAGGAAATAAGTAGCTGACAGAGAAAGAAAAATGGCAACTTCGTGCTTTAATGGCAACGTGAACTGTCTAGAAGGGACATTTATCAGTTCAACAAGAATCGATTTTCTTCACTCTCAACTCATATAACAAATCCCCTTCTAAAAGGTCGGAGCATTTGCTCTGGTAATTTATTTGTTTATGTATAACTAGCCCACCTCGAGACTCTCTAGGAAGCATTTTTCTCTGGCACATGTTTTATCTTGATCCTGGGTGGAAGATAATCACCGAGTAACCTGTTGAATCGGGCACACTTGGAGGCAAGGGAAGGAGATTTCACCGACTGTGCACTTGCAGACACTGATGTAAGTGTGTGAGGAGTGAGACAGGCAGTTGGGTGAGCTTCACGCCTCACACAGATGTCAACTGCCTGCTCTTTCCGATTTTTGTTCCACTCCATATTTTGAAATGATATAACTCAAAAGGGACGTCACTTGTTAATTAGTGAAAATCTAAGGCAAAGGGTTTCTGGTTCATTCATAGAAAATGGGGAGTTTGAATAAATTTCAAGGCAAGGTTTTAACTAGGTAAACTTAATTCTAGTATTTGCATCAAAACAGGGAATGGAGAATTCATGTTTATTCAACATGTATTCCTTTAATTGATCACCTTTTGTTTAGTACATGGATATTGAGCACCTCCTATATGCCCGGGAGTATGCCAGGTTCCAGGAATAAAACCGTGAATATGAACAGAACGTCTCCTCTGAGGGTAACCGTTAAGTAAATAGCCACCATATGTGGTGTGAGAGGGATGGAACCATGAGAGAGAGGAGAACAAGTGTGTTTGAGAACCAAAAGACGATGCATTCTAGAAAAGGTGAAGTATACATCTTTGACCTAGGTCTTAAATGAATGAGTAGGTGTTTGCCATAAAGAGATGAAAGAAAGTGTAGTAGAGACAGATGACAGACCAGTCATGGTGATTAAATATTAACCATGTCCATCTTTTTTTTTTTTTAAGATTTTATTTATTTATTTGGGAGGGAGAGAGAGAGATAGTGAGTAACAGTGCAAGAGCGGGGGAAAGAGAAGCAGACGCCCCGCTGAGCAGGGAGCCAGACACAGGGCTCGATCCCAGGACCCCGAGGTCATGACCTGAGCCAAAAGCAGACACTTAACTGACTGAGCCACCCAGGCGCCCCCCCAACCATGTCCATCT